TCACGACATCTGCTTGGGTTTCTCAAGACAGTTACACGGAGCTACAGACTCCAAGTCACCGTCACCCCCCCTCGCTTCTCGGGTATTCTGCATTCGCAGGCCCGAGGAGAGTCAGCCCATATTCTGGATAGAGAGATTCTCTCACTCCTAGAAAAGAGGGCTATATCTATTGTACCCGCCGAGCAGAGTCAGGGCGGCTTCTATTCCAAGTACTTCCTCGTTCCCAAACGGGGAGGGAACGGAATTCGGCCAATACTTGATTTGAGGGCTCTGAACAAATATCTAAAAAGATATAAGTTCAGAATGCTCACTCACACATCTCTGCTGCGGCTCGTGCGACAAGACGACTGGTTTACATCAGTCGACCTGAAAGATGCGTACATCCCAGTATATTACCCACACAGGAAATATCTGAGATTCGCATTTCAGGGGATCTGTTATGAATACAGAGTACTCCCCTTCGGTCTGTCTCTCAGTCCAAGGGTGTTTGTACGATGTACGGAAGCCGCGATAACCCCGTTAAGACAACAGGGTATTCGCCTGGCGACCTACCTGGACGCCTGGCTGCTTCTCGCACAGTCGGAGCAGGAGGCTGTTACGCAGACAAATGTCCTCGTAAAGCACCTGCTCAACCTGGGTTTCATAATAAACACAGAGAAGAGCATGTTGTGCCCCGCGCAGACTATACTCTTCCTGGGTTTACGCCTGAACTCGGTGCCCTTTTCAGCTCGCTTGTCAGCGGAAAGAGTGAAAGCTTTCAGAGCTTGTCTCGCTCTTTTCCAGCTGCGCAAACATGTTCTCTTCACATCATGCCTGCGATTGCTGGGGCTCATGGCGTCCTGGTCGTACGACTGGGATGCTTACACATGAGGGAGTTTCAGCGCTGGGTGGCCGCCCTAAAACTAAAGAGTGATGGTTACTGTGAAATGCGTAATGGCACTGCGCCACTGGCTGCACCCGACTTTTCTAGTACGAGGTGTGCCTATGGGTGCTGTTCTTTCACGGAAAGTGGTCACCACGGACCCATGTCTGACAGGTTGGGGAGGTATTTATGAAGGTCGCCCGGTGAGGGGTCTCTGGAGCAGAGACCTCCAGCGGGCGCACATAAATTACCTGGAGCTTTTAGCAGTGTTTCTCACCCTAAAACGCTTTCTGCCTTTCCTCAGGGGACATCACGTCCTCGTGAGGACAGACAATACGACCACAATATCATATATTAACCGCCAAGGGGGTTTGCGTTCTCTCCAGTTACACACACTGGCGCGCAAACTGATCCTATGGAGCGGTAGACGTCTCCTCTCTCTGAGAGCGACGCACGTACCGGGAGTGATGAACCTCGGGGCAGATCTACTGTCCAGAGGTATACCACTTTATGCAGACTGGACTCTACATCCAAGGATTGTGAGCCAGCTGTGGGTGCGTTACGGCAGAGCCGCGGTGGATCTGTTCGCATCGAAAGACAATGCTCAGTGTCAGCTGTTCTTTTCGATGCGCGATCTAAATGCACCGTTAGGCGTGGATGCACTCGCGCACGATTGGCCCCCGGGCCTTCTGTACGCGTTCCCACCCCTGGCTCTGATACCCCCAACTCTGGCCAGAGTGAGAGAGCAACGCCACACACTTATCCTGATAGCTCCGCACTGGCCAGCTATGTACTGGCTAGCGGAGATATATCAGCTGCTGTGCGGGCAGCCATGGCAGCTCCCACTACGCAGGGACATACTGTCCCAAGCGGGGGGGGGCGATCTTTCACCCACACCCAGAGCGCTTGGCTCTATGGGCCTGGCCCGTGAGTGGTACAATCTGAATACAGTGTGACATGAAGCTGACCCTGGCAGCTGCCAAGCGAGCCAGTGGCACTCATGCGCTATCTGTACAGTCTTCACTCAGTTCGCCCCAGGGCAAACAGAGTGTGGTTGAAGCCCAACCCTGCCTTTATCTTAAGGCGGTTGGTTCAGGTACCACATTTGACATTGAGGCATCCTCCCCGCCACTGTATTCCTCCGGGGAACAGCGGTCGGATTTGCCGTGTCCAGCCCGTGCTTTACGCACGTACAGGGACAGATCAAGGGTGCTTCGTCATAATGACCAACCCCTTGTGTCCTGGGCTAACCCTTATAAGGGCAAGCCTGTTACTAAGCAACGGCTCTCCCACTGGTTTGTGGAAGCAATTGCTTTGGGGCTCATACGAGTCAGAGTTCGCAGGCACCCTCGGGTCCGCGAGCTCTTTCGACTCAGGGTCTGGCTGCATCCTGGGCTCTGTCCAGGATGTCTCCCATCCAAGACATTGGTGCAGCGGCGAGCTGGTCCTCGCCGCTCACTTTTGTCCGCCTCTTAACAGGCTGGACGTTCTGCTCCCAGTGTGACTAAAGCAGTGCTGGGCACCTGGTTGAGTCAGAGCTCTACCTGTTAAGTTCTGGTTGGTTTGGTGATTTTCGAGATAAGCTCGTCTGACAATACGGGAGCTACAATTTCCCATAGTGAGACATCGAACGGAGTGTTATGAATGAGAACTATAGGTTACTTACGTAACCCCAGTTCTCAGAGTAACATGAAGTGAGATGTCTCACCAGACGGCCCTCCTTGCTATGGTGAAGCGAGAAGAGGTGCTTATTTTGAATGACGCATGCGTCGTGGCGCAAGCTACTTATAGGGGGTGAATTCCCTGACGCTGACGTCAAGATCACCAGCCAATCAGGATTGGCGTAATGAGATTGATGCTTCCGTTTGCTCCGCGATGAGGCGCATCCCATAGTGAGATATCTCACTTCATGTTACTCTGAGAACTGGGGTTACGTAAATAACCTATAGTTTTCCTGTGATGCATATATAAAATCTCAAATCTGCCTTTTTACTCAAACTATCTCACTTTCTCTTTCATGCTTTCTTACGTAAGAGGTTTTATTTGTATACATCCCCCTAATTGGATAGTCTAAATAGTGTTGAAGCTTTTTCCTTCCTCTCTTCTAGCCTGGCGGGACAGATCTCGGGCATCTCTCATTCTGTCTGGAATTTCCGATAAAAAAAGGCTCTCTAAAAGATTCATAAGCTGCTATGCGGCACATTTCAAAGCAAAAATACTGTGACAATGTATGTGTGTTTGTGTGTGTGTGGAGCAGGAGTCAGGGCTACAGGGTTTATCGAGTCTCTCTGTGAAAAGATTATCCATATGAGCAGATATTGGCCACAAGAAAATGCGGTAAAAACGAAAAGGCAGAAAATGGCCCCTTGTGCAGATTCTTCAGCTTAATTGTTAAAACACTTTTGAGACATAATATATTCAGTTTAAGGAACTTAAATGTCGTGCAATGTTTTTTCAAAAGACTAAAAAGAAAGATGACCTTGTTCGGGGAAGAAATGTATGAGCTGAGTTTCACAGATTCACCATATTTTGAGTTGTACAGTTTATGACATTTTTAAGTATCATGTCTATAAACTGGGATTTGTCAAACTAAAGAGTGTATCGAGTGCAAAGATGTGGTAGAGAGGTCAATCTAAACCAATGTATTAGGTCAGTATCAGCTCAAATAGAGCACAACAAAATATGTGCTCTCATTCGTTTTTCTTGTAGTGGTTTCTGATAGTGAATTTAAGTCAGGCTACCATAAAAAACGGTTGTATTATTACCTCCTTGGCCAAAGAAATACAGATGAAGATGAAGATGTTGGAAAGCTAAAACTATATATGTTTGGTAACAGACTCAGATTCTACTATTAGAAAACTGGATTAACCACTTAATAAAATGACTCTGAACATAAACTCTACCCAAGCCATTGTATCACCCGGCTACTGTACATATTCAAGTAAATACATGAACCATGAATTTGCTTGGCTTATACTCAGCATGCTTAAGCACACTTGTATGCTCTGCTAGATAACATGCTTCACATCAAGGTAAATCTGGCTGGAGGCGATGATGGAAAGGTCTCCAGACACAGAGCGTAGAAGAAAATGTCAGTTTTTTACATCTTCTACACTTGAACTAAATAAGGTTGAAAGATGTGAGATGGTAGAACCAAAATGTGATTACTGATGAAAACATAATGTATGGCAACATTGAAAGTGAGATAAAGCTGCAGTTTCATTCCCACACACATTTCTCCAGTTCAAAAATGCAAAAAAGAAAAACAAAGAAATGATTGACAACCATTTGCTCAAAATGCTCATTAGGTACAGAAGAATTGCCAGGAACACACACACAATGTTAAGGCTGTCAAGCAGACAAACAGGCTTCATAACTATAAAGTATTGGTCAGATCAAATCCTAGTCCTTTGTCTGAGTGCAGCTGATTTCATTTGATTTTTTATCTGAAGACTACAGACAACAATATACTGTTTCCTTTGAGCTATATGGGAACATACATTTTCAAACTACCAGATTCCAGCCATGGCCATATATCTTTCATGCAGTTTAAACAATAAAAAGTGTAATCCTTTAAAGTGCCATTACAGTTATCCGTGAATGATCACAAAGATGAAATATTCATTATGCCCAAAGCCTTTCAACTTAAAATGACAGCCTGAGAGGTGCTACTGTACAGCAGATGGGAGAAAGGATGACTAGTTTTCATAATAACTATGAAAACATTTGAATGTAAATCAATAGATATATAATATCTTGACTCATTCTAATTGTTTTATACTGAATAGCACTATCTCTAGGCCACATAGTTTAGTGTACCTTGTTTCCACAGCCTTGTTTAAAATGAGGATTATTTTAGGTGTGTGTGTGTGTGTGTGTGTGTGTGTGTGTGTGTGTGTGTGTGTGTGTGTGTGTGTGTGTGTGTGTGTGTGTGTGTGTGTGTGTGACATCGGATCTGAGAAAGACGCACATAAAAAGATATTTTCATTAGAGCCTTCTGCTAATTCTAGTGTCTTGCCTTTAATGTGATTTTTCACGGCCTCAGTAGCCCCTCTGGCTCACACACAAAATAGGCTTCTCACATTAGACCCTCATTTTGTTTAAAACTCACACAAACACACACAAGGCTTACTCTTACCTCTGTCATGTGAATAAGGTAGAACCTCAGTTCTTCAGCGTAATCTGTAAGACAAAACAAAACAGGAGACTTTAATTTTGAGAACCACCCAACTTCATTTACAGTGTTTCATTTGTCACATGCTTCCTTCAGGGGTCATTGATTTCCAATCAGGATTTTGCTAAAATACTTTTTATTGATGGAAGGCTTTTACTTTAGGTCAGCCTTATAGGCATCCATCCACAATTCACTGAAGTAGCAATCTGCGAGACATGCCTGTGGGTCAGGAGTCAAGATAAATGGTTTTAATCGAGTGACCACACACACACACACACACACACACACAACCGTTTGTTGTGGCAATGTTTAATGTTTTATATTCAGTAAGTGCTCACACAATTCAACATTTTGACTGACTGATGATCAATATCACACTAGGAAGTAGTTTCACCCTGGGATGAGGTTTACAATTATTCATATTCATATTATGTCTGATCCAGTAATGAGAGACCCGACAGTGAAGAATAAATATATGTATAACTAGTTTAGCTAGTTCCAGAGGTAGATAAAATGGCTAAGTGTGTAGGTCTAACTCTTAGCGTGTGTTTTGCTCCGCTCACAGGTCCGTCACAGCGGGTGGAGCTGCAGGATTTCTGCTTCACACACATTGCATACCGCTATTTTATTGTCATTTTCGGACACCTTAAAATACTGCCAGACTGGTGAATGTATTTTACGTCATGTGATCGGCTCTCACGATCGGAGCACCGATCGATCGGCAGAGAGTGAATATTGGCCGATATTGATCGGCGGCCGATCGATCGGAGCATCCCTAATCCATACACTTATGTTAATGGGCCTCATGTTTCACCGTAGTTCTTAAGTACCTTTTGAAACTTGGCCTCACTGAAGGCAGTCATGTGTTCACATAGGACCCCAACAACACTGACAATAAGGAGTCACAGTAACAGACTTTCAGGTTGGCACCCTGAAATTCAGAGCACAACGAGCAACTTAAACCACATGTATTTTGTTGATATCATAGATTGATAGATAAGAGGTTAACTTAACCATCGTGATGTCACCCATTGATTTGTGGACTACTGTGTTTTCAAGCCTCAGGTTTGGCATGAAGTGCCATATTTGACGAAAGGGGGGCGCAGTTAAAGGATACAAACTGCTAAATCTCTATCCGAATGACCAGCTTGCAGTATTTGCAACCTGTCAATCACAAGGTAGATACACCCTAAAGCTTAAACTGTTTTATCATATATATTTTTGAAGCTGCAAGTATGTTTCATCAGAAGAACTTTCAGATAGGTAAAATCACTCCAGTGGTTTTGTAAGAGAACATTAGGCCTATGCCCTTATGCTCAAATCAATCTAGTTTTTACCAACTTGGTAAAAAGTAGTTATTCAAAGTATTTTATATGTCTTAAACCGTGTGTGGAGGGGGTCTCCAAATCATGAATTCCTTCCTTAAATTACTTAATCCAGATTTACTTGGGCCTAGTCCAACAACATTTAGCTTTGTTGGCCAAAATGTTAAGCCTTGGCTCAGATTCCCTCTGCATAGCAAAGAAGAGTATACTAAAAAACACACATGCACATTGCACACACTGAAGAGAGGTCCTTTGAAGGTCACTGTCAAATTATTAAATATTTGTGTGATTATTACACTCCCATCAACCTCAAGCCTCTACCTCTTCACCTGCAATGTTGACAGCAGCCTCCACAGGCAGCTTTCCTGTTATGGTATTTTATGAATGTTTCCATGAGACCTGCATTACACTGCAGAAAGTGTTCATTTTTATAACAGCAGAGGTCACTGTTGGATATATTTCTGTTTACAAAAACTAGCAGAGAGAGTGCCGTCTTAAAACATACTGTAGTGATGCAGGACTTTTAAAATAAATTCATGTTTTAGTTTGAGTCGAAAAAATGTCCATACTTTAAAAAAATACACAATTTCATAAGTGTTCTGAAAAGCCATAATCTAATATGTAGTTCCTTCCTATCACCTGACAGCAGTGGCTTACTGGTGGGTCAAAGGTGTATTATTCCAGTAATTCCCTGTCACTCAAATCCACTTCCTGTCCCACTAAAGGACATGTATAACATCAGTAACATTTTACAATACAGTTTTAACTGTCATGTCATTTTTCCACAACTTTGTAGCATTAGCTGACAAAAGGCTCGATAGGGTCGTGTAGATGGGCTGTTTAATGACGTCTGCTTACTTTGTTTAGTACAATGATAAAGTTGGATTGACACAAGGTAATTTAGTTTTATCTGTGGTCAATCACTCTCAGTGTTTCCCACGCTCCTCAGGCTAGTATAGAGGTGACACAGGAAGCCCCTGCGTTGAGCTTGTACTCTGTCATTACACACACACACACACACACACACACACACACACACACGTCACACACCCTTGCTGAAACAAACACAATCCCCGGGCGCCTCTTTCCTGAGTGACGCTGCCGAAGCGAAATAACAATGACAGGCAGCAGGGTGGAGATGTGTGTCTGTGTGCGTGTGTGTCGTCTCATGAAACACACACACACACACACACACCCTCACAGAGACACGCAAACCCTTCTGAATCTCCCACCCTGGAGATCTCCGATTGTTTGGGTGAAGGGTGGAGGTCAGAAGTCTCCCAGAGGAGACAGCGATGTCTGCAGGGAGGGCAGAACAGCTCAGGCCATTCTGTGTCAGAGGGCTTTGTTATACATTCAGAAGTGTCTGTGATTGAACTTTTACAACATTTTAAATTATAGACTGGGCCAAATGGAAATATTCCTTAAATTAATAATGTGCTGAAAATATGTATCTAAAATAATTTAATAAACAATCTTTTTTTCCACAACAGAGACAAAAAACTCAAATGAAAAAAGGTTTTTAAATTTCATCAACAATTTAAAAAGGAAAATACTTTAATTCAGTCTTAGACATGCATCGGGGGAATCACATGTTTTTAGCTCCTATTGATTTGGAAAACAGCTTTGACACAGATTTGGCCGCATGACCTGCTTCATAACAAGCAGCCTTTTTCATTTCAGTATCAGTATGTCGCTGCCAGAGACATTAAGCTAATAATAACTTGGAGGATTTATGAGCTGAATGCATTCAAAGTTCAGGTGGGAACTTAACGAGAAGCTGCATAACGCAATAAACCAAGGAAACAGGCACTCTAATATTAATTATAAATAGACAAAAATGTGACGATACATTATAAACATCTTCACCAAAAGACTGAAGGGGCCAACGTTACTACTAGTTTTCTGAAGAACAATATTATCACTGGATACTGTGATGGATTTACTATAAGGTGTCAGGGGTAGTCACGCTTCCATGACACCTGTAAAATTAAAGAATTTCACAAATTAGGATCAATAAAGTATCTATCTATCTAGGGGGCTTTATCTATTGACGGTTGTACTGAGACCTCAAATAAAATACCATAAAACGCCTATAAATCACCTAAAGCAGCATTTATTTGAATGGGTACTTACATTTCTAATCAATGACTTCACACAGTGGTCTCCCCCTACACTCACACTGACTGTGAACACTGCCATTACATTCAATATTCTGCTGGACAGAGTGGACAAGCTCCTAGCTCAACATCCTTTTAACACCCGTCATGCTGCTAAATCAACCACATAATCCCGACACCACTACCCACTGTTAAATCCTATTTACTGTCACTCAGCTCTTGACACCCACAGCTGGAGGAGAGATTGTTTCTCCCACCTGGACTTATCAATTTGAAGAAATATTGGTGTTCCTCCTCTCCTCTGCCTCTGACCCAACACTGACTCTAAACTTTGCCCCCCGTCTCCGTCCACCTCTCTAAACAGAGATATTTACAGGGAGCCCTATTTATTTGACAGCTCTATGCTCTGTGTGGCCCTGACAGCTAAGCCATTCTCTCCTTAGCGCTAGAGGAGACGGTTGTTTACACTGTGGTGACATAAAAAGACAAAGCATCAGGAACTTTGGCCGTCTTTCCCTAAATATCCTCTGGTTAAGCTCAACTGAATCCCTGTAATCACGGGGCTGTCTGCTTATTTTTAGTTGTGTCATTTGTGGGTTCAAGTGTTTCATTTCCCTTTTGTGTGTAACTGTTAAAGTGTTGTAACAAGGTAACAGATAAGATTGTGAAATATATTTACATTTTGCAAGATAAGATTGTTTGGAAATATATTTACATATTGCAATTTTGGCCGAGTTCTTTCAGAACTTTGAAGGAAGGTGTTGATATAGTAACATGAATTTGTCACCTTAACAATTTTGACATCTTAGACTTTAACAAATGTTGGTAACCGGTGCAAAAAAGGGGCGTACATACCGTCCTGGAGCCTGAGCTGTCGGAGGAACAGCGGACTCTGGAGGACATTACACCTGCCGGGCTCGTCTTCTCTTGTCACCAGCATCAGGTCACTGTACACAAACACTGTGACCTAAAGGAGCAGAGGAGGAGAATGAAGAGACAAAATGAGAAAAATACTGAGTTTCAAACACCACTCTGACAAGGTCTCACTAGTGCTTTGAAGTTATCACATATTATCTGCAAAGGTGTGAATAACACCACCTAACACATCCCAAAACTCTGTCACCTCTTCAACACAGGAAATGCAGTTCACAGTTACACAATTATGGCCAAACAAACACATAAAGCCACAGTTTGCTTTGGGAACCTGTTGCATGTTACACTGGTGCCTTGGTATACTGACCTAGTCAGTTATTTTATTTATTAACTCTGATTAAAACTTCATGTAGTGTTACAACTGCTAATAAAACATGTATAAGCCTTTTGAAAATAAATACATAAATATATACATATGTATATATTTGTTTAAACTTCAATAAATACATTTGAATTATTTGGACTGGAAATATTATTGCTTCATTCAATCATTAAGATTATTGTTGAAGTATCCCTGTACGTTTCTAATTAGATTTACAGATTGTAAAATGGCGCCGGGTTTTCTAGAAAAATTGTAATTGTTATCATGTCAATTATAATGTCATGTTAATTGATCAAGTAATCAATGGCTTTCTATCAATATTACTGCAAATAAAGCCTATACAGTTTTTTATAATTACTATACTGTCATAACACTTTTTCAATTCATTTAGTTTAATAGCAGGGCATTATTCAATATTACTTGATTCTTGTTGTCCTTTAATCTATGTCTGCTCTTGTAGCCTTGTTGATACTGTATCTTCCCACACTTCCATCAAACTCAAGACACTAATCTCATTTACAGTAGCACCAGTATCCCCGTCAAAGATGATGAATCGCTATGTGAGGAATTGCTGTCAGTGTGCAGAAGAGACCGAATGGCAGCCTTAATCTAATTACTTACAGTACAGACTCTTTTAGTCCACACACACAAACTTCAGACTGTTACTTCAGAGAGAGATTTGCAACACGTCACAGCAGCCCATGACTGCCTTTATGCTTCTGAGGCGGCTCAGTGAGCAAGGCATGCCAGTAAAACACTGACATTGAGAATAATGAAGGAACTAAGCATTAAGGGGAAAAAAAGAGATATGAGTATAAAAAGTAGCTTATACTGTACACATGTGTGCTTTCATGCCAAATAACATAAATTGATGTAGATGGGCAACGGTTGAAAACAATGCTTTGGCTTCGGTGGCTTCCTCTGAAGGGTGAGATAGCAGAGGTGGTATTTCAGATGAAACCAGTATGTGGTAAGGGTGTGTGTGTGTGTGTGTGTATGTGTGTGTGTGGGTGGAAGAGGATGTAAGTAAGAGTACAGAGGCAAGGACAAAGTGACAAATGAAAGGCAAGCAGCAGAAAATGTTCACACAGAGAAACACACACACACTTTAAATGCATACATAGACAAACAACAAACACATAATGAACAAAAGAGCGCAAACGTTTTTAAAAACACAACCTTGTTCTCTGATTGAGAATAACAAATGTAAAATAAAGGTAGCCATCCCGGTCAAGGGAGCATGAATTATGAATGATAATGGTGCATAGTGTGTTTTAATAAATAGTGGTTTTGTATTTATATATTCACTTTCAAAAATAATTTAGTTGAATGTTTTTTCAATCGCTGTCTTATTCTCTATTCACACAACTTAATCCACTTAAATCTGTTATGGCCAAATGTCACTTTGAAGTATTGTCATTATTTAATCCACTAAAATTCAATTTTCTCCAAATGTCACTTTAGATTATATCAAGTTATTGCAATGCTGTGCTCATTATTTTTGTTCAGATATGATAAGGAAAGTTGTAGATGTTTGTGTGAACAAGAGAGTCTGTGTGATAGCCTCCTGGGTTAAGGTTTAAAGCTGGAACAACACTAACTGATCATTAAAAACAGCACGCACAAAGCAGTGGAGAGAAACTCCCTCCTGACAAACACTGGCTGTTAAATATTTGTTTTATGACTGACCCCAGAGAGGCCAGATTACCTTCCATGCCAGCGGTCACTGCACAGAAAATAGAATCTGACAGGGGGAATTAACAACTGTAGCAAAAGCTTAATTCTTTCAAAAAGTGATCCTTCTGTTCTCTTTCTAATGTGTATACTTTCTTAGAGCATTGGATGTCAGAAAGGATTCCATGAGTTGCAACACTGATTCCAAAAACTTCAAATTTCAGAAACATATCTCCACTCCTCGTGTGATTAACTTTCTTACTTTAGCTTCTGCCAAAACATTAAACTTAACCTGGGTCACAAGTTTTTCTTTTTAGGGAAAATGCAGCTGAACACGTATCAAGATAATCCAAATATGTGTAAAGAGTAAATAGAGTTAGAATAACGTGGCTAATGTTAGCTTGAAATACAGTAATATTTGATCAATTAGATAAGATTATATTAGCGGACCTGGCTCTGCTGGACAGCACTTCACATTTTCTTTGAAGCATAAAATGTTAAACCCTACAGGGTAAAGCACATAAAACACCGCTACTTCTTTATTTCTGACACCGGCAACATTTAAGTACTTGTTACAGTATACAAATCTATATTTTAAAACTTCAAAACAAGAAGTATAATTACCTTTGATACAAATGTATTAAACATTTTCCATTCTTAATTTATAATACAGATTATGCAATGTGAGCTTAAAATACTATGAAAGAATCATTCATATATTCTGAGAGAGTTCCTTTGATACATCAAACAGATTTTCTCCCTCGGCTAGATCTTTGACACTCTGCTCTTTAATCAATTATTCATTCATTCATCGACTCATTGGTCTGATAGCTCAGAGCAGTTACAAATTCTTCAGAGATGTTCAGACATCTCCTCTCACAAACTGCTCCTCACTTGCTTTCTCTTTGCAAGTACATCAGTGATTCCCACAGCATGTTAATACTTTTGGGGGCCCCCAAAGTATAATGGCTCCCCCCAAAGTATAATTTGTGTGTTTTTTGTTTTTTTTTACTCAGTGAGCACTCATTTGCATTTGCATTGGTGGCAATGAGTGCTCAGTGAGTAAAAAAAACTTAAAAAACCATAAATTATACTTTGGGGGGAGCCATTATATTGGTAAACAGCCTCTATGGGCGCGAGTCCAGACCCACTTTTGGAATCAAATGATGACGTCAGTGGGATTATCTCCTTTATCAACTCCTAAGCATCCCCGGGACAACATCACTAGCCCCGCCCCTAAAAAGGTGTGAACTTGAGCCAATCAAGGACTACTAATACTAGGTCGTCCTTAGACGAGTTTGCCAACGGGTTCGCCAATCCTCACGGTCCTCCATACACCCGGCCAGCTGTGTGGAGCTTTTCACCCCCACATCCTTCCTCAGCACCTCCACGTATGTTGGCGTGGGGCGCCCTCTTGGTCGGTGCCCGTGTGTTGGCTCCCACTTGGTAAGATGTGTGTGTGAAAGAAGACCACAAAAAACAGCAGTGACTGCTCTCAGCTGTTTAACACTTAAAGACCTAGACACCATCACCAGTTGTAGGTTGTCTGAAGTGCAGTGTTACTATGAAAATTCACTAGAATGCAGGAATTGAGAAAAAAAATCTCAACATTTTTCACGGTGTTTCCCGAGTCGTTCCCCCAAAGTATATTTCATTTCTGCGGGAATCACTGTACATACATAACTCTTAAACACACACAAGCTTTGACTTGAGATCAGCACTGGCTCAATGGACCGTCACTTCCATTTTGGCCAAACAAGCAACATAACTGGTTGTGACAAACTAGCAAAATGTTTGCCACTCGTCATTCTGTCTCCTGTAAGCTTAAAAGGCTGGAGAGAAAAGAGCCTCAATCTTTCCAGATCAATCAAATTATGAAACGCTTCGGAAGAGGATTGCAGAAATAACATTTTCTTTCCACATATCAACAAAATCCAATCCTGTACCTTTCAGGGTCATTTCTTAAAATGAGTTTTAGATCATATCCTGCTTACAGTTTGGATGTTCCGTGATCAATGACTGAAATTCCTGAGCAGAAGCAAACTGAAGAAGGAGCTAAAGAAAAACTGTGCTTTCTACACGGAGAACCAGCTCAGAAAAATGTTTATATTGTATTGAAATGAATGTATATTCTCACATCACAAGCATAGGCAAGGATATACACATATGTAAACATCATACACACACTGTTGCCTCTCACCTTGAGCGAGTGGTGCTTGCTCTCATGGAGTATCATCTCTTCGGATAAGATGAGCGCTCTGCTGCACAGGTCAAGGGGCTGGAAAAAGATCAATGACACAGATGTTACAGTCAGATTAAGGAACAAGGTTTTTGAACATAGTTTTAAGGTTTATTCATAATTATTGATATATCTGATGAGATAGTTATCAATGACCACAAGCACATGTTACTTATATGATAACCATTGCCTAATCATCAAAATCGTTGATATATGTTAAGCATTGTGTTAAGATACAAATCTTAGAATATTGTTTTTTTGTAGATTTAAAAAGTAAAACCCGAGGTTGTAATACCAAATCCATTTTGGCACTCAAAATCCAAATGATCTTCTGAACAGTAAGTCGTCTTACTGCTGTGAGAAACACAACTGAAACAACTGTGTGGCGACATGTGGTCTGAGAATGACACTAAAGATGAACTGTAACACAGGAGGCGGCGACTTCCTCTCAAGTACAGGGTGGGCTAATTCAATATGCATGTGTCACATTTGCATACTGTGAGAAGTATAGGGTCAGAGTTGCACGTTTCTATATGAGTTAACAGGAAGTACCACCACAGTCACTGCATTTCAAAACGGAGAATAGACTTAAAGAACTCAAGAAGCCAATTTGTAGATACTGCAGGAGGTGCAAAATGCATTGCTCTAACTTATCTCCCATTTTCAAATATATTCACTGTAGCATGGGTATGCTGCCTGTGTATATGAAGACATGGTAGCATATGACTCATGACTTGCCTTGGCTTCCTAACTTGGACTATTCCTCCTCAGGAAACTAGATTATTCCGATTACCATAGTATGAGGAATATATGTAACGAAAAGTGTTTCTGTACACAGCTATATTTAGATATACAAGGTGGACAGATCATACAGAATGTATATGAGAAATATAAAAAGGACTGTCATCTGAATAAATACAGAGCCTCATTGCCTTGTAATGTTTTAAAATATTAATTACCAGCAATGTGGTTATTTGAAAAATAACCACAGAGCTGTATACAAACTCCACAAAAACAACACTGTATATCAAATACTTGTAAAAATAGCACCCTCATGACTTGCAAAACAAAATGCAGAAGCAAAAAGGTGAATGTATTTAACTCCAAACCTCAAAAGTATTTTATTTGACCCAAATGTTCTGCAGAGTTTTGTCTGACTGTTTTTTAGAGCATCATGGGTACCTATGGTTTTAGATGAATATCATATACTGTAGCCGCTACAGTACGGTACGGCCACAGTTTAAAAGCGGCCAGACCTTTGACTCTACCAAACTAGTATGATTTTGGGAGATAAGCTCATTCCTTTTGACCTTATGCCTGACTTTCAAATAAGCATTTACAACCAGGACCCAGTTAGCTCAGCTTAGCATCAAACCTTTAAACAGTTGGCTGGCTTTTCCAGTCATTGGCTTACCTGAACAAAGATGGGGAAGATGAGGATCTTGGGAGCCACTTTGACATATCCGTAGTTGGCATGTGGAGTGTGTGAGCGGACGATGGTGCAGTTCTGGTAATTGGCAAAGTTAGCATTCTGCTGCTGATAGTTGGGTGCACCGGCGTTGGTGGAGGTGGATGCTGTCTTTGTTGTCTTAGAGTTGTTAGACCTACGTAGGAAGCCAGTTCGGCTGGAGAAACCCCCTCCTCCTCCTCCACTACTACTACTACTAGGACCTCCACCAGCACTGCTCTGGGGCTGTGGACCAGAGCCCTGCCGTGGGTATAACCTGCCGGCTGTGGAAAATGAAGAACGTGAGCAAGTGAGGGTGAAGACAGATTATATACTGTCCAGTATCATTACTGGCGCTACCTGTGGAGTGTCAGTAATGATCTATTATTAAGAGGGTTAGATGAGAGGATACCACTCGAATATCAGCATGCCTATACGAGGATGGAGCTATGAGAAGTTTAGCCATAACTGCAAACAACAAATAAACATAGCCAGGCTCTGTGGAACGGTAACAAAATCTACATACAGTACCAACACCACTGCAGCTCACTAAATAAATGATATCTTGTTTGTTAATACAAATAAAAATCACAAAAATGAAGAGCAACAAACTGCGGTTATACTTTATCCTTACCAGAAAAAGACAGAAAAGGAGTGGCTAAAAAAAACATGAGTGTGTTCAGTCCCCAAAGTAGAATCCTCTGCTCGACTTGTGTTTACCTTATAGTGCTAAATCCTTTTGGACAAGACAGTTTATGCATCATTTATATGTTAAGCTGTTATATTGGCCAGTTTTCAGAAAAAATCTAAACATGGCAAACATTTACTTAAAATAGCAGTAAAATGTTTGTTGTAGTCAATTGGGAAAACTGGATTAAAACTGAAAAAGTCTAAAGTTTTATTTGAGTTTAAAGTGTAATTTAAGGCTGTTTCAGGGGGGCAAGCCTAAAGTCAATGTAATCACATTAATTAAAATAGCAATACCCTGTAAAGTTAAGTAAAAAAGTAGATTAACATTCTGGGCTACAGCCAACAAAAAGAGGCACCAAAGCCAACTGAAACAAAGGCTTTCCGCCAAGACACTGTTCACTGTGGTCTTTAATAAAATGATGTATGAGTAATAACATGTCTTACCTAATGTTCCCTGGTTGTCTTGGTAAACAGGCCTCAAGATCTGAAAGCAGAATAATATTAAATGACATTAATATTAAATAGGCTTCAGCACTAGGAAAAATGACATCTAAGCTCCGTCTAGAGTGGAATAAAGCCAAGACATAATGACATTAGACACCATGTCCTTATTCAAATAATGAATTGATATTCCCATGTAATAATATTCCTGATACAATTCTGATTTTAACTTTGTATGGCGTGAGACTTGAAATGCAGGGTTGCCATTAAACACACTGCATATCCTTATTAAAAAATGTCACTATGCCACAAGTTTGGCTTTAGGGAATGAAGCTGGACATTATCATGTGAAGTTTCTTACTTGACATTGAATTGTAGTGTCTAGGACACAGCTGAGCTCATTTGAATTGTGCTAGACTCAGTGAGTCAGTGGAAGTTTCTCCATGTCATAACAGATAACAGTCAACTGAAAAGATGGCCACTACATCACACATTGTCCAGATTAAGACAGTAAGTGAGCTAGTGGTTGGAAAGTCACAAAATGTTAGGGTATTCGTATCATTAGCTTGCTTTTCTTCCAGCTTGTCATAAATATGTCTGTAGTGTGGGCTTTCCAAAATCTTTGTTTACCACCTAAAGTACTGTCAGTGCAATTAGACGACAAGCTTTGGGTATATTGAGCCACACTATCGCACCAAATCCCTTCCCCCTCATTTGTTTGGGATACAAGTGGTGGCGGTTTGAATGTTTGTTCACTATGTTGGCATGCACCTGCAATCTTTTTCCAGAGTCTGACCAAACTACTGTACACTCCTACACTTTATATTTTAATTTCTCTGAATCTATTTATGTTCTTCCTTCTTAAAATCAATCTCATCTTGTCATGTGGGACAGCTCAATGTCTTTGACATGCACAACAATGTCCCTTAACTGAACCCCAACTTGAGAAGCACTCACAGATGAAGATGGACATGAGGCACACACAGACACAAACAAATAAAACACACACACACAACAAGTTACAGAAGGACACAGAGGAAGAGAATTAAGAGAATAACACTTAACTACCTGCTCTAAATATGACAGAAAAAATGATTTAGTTTGTTAGAATATTTTAGAAGCAATTATTTAGAGACCTAAGGTTTACCCAGATTGTAATAAGAAATATGTCTCAAATGCATTTTGAATGTTGGTTAGCCTGAGGTTGTTAATTGGTTAGTATCAAAGTGTTACATAGTTGTTAGCTGAGGAACTCAGTTCAGTCTTTTTGATTTGAATAAATGTGCTTTATTTTGTTATGATCAAAGCGTTTACCTTATATACATGATGTCATTGGATGAAAAAATAAGTACAGGCTGTATAAAATGGTTTTACATATTATTATCAACATAAAGACTCTGAAGAAACATTGCCTTGAATTGGGCCTATTCAGAAAACACAGCATATTGGCTTGTGACATTTAACAAATAGAATAATCAAGTTTCTCTTGTGAGTTTTTCCTCGGAAATGTGCATCTTTAATCTCGGAATATAACCCCCCGCCCTGGCTCTGTAATTAGAATGGGTTTACTTACATGCCCTGATATGCACTCGGAGAAATGGACCAGCAATGGAATACCTATTTGAATCAAGAACTACTTTTGTTGAGTTATATCTTTTTACAAATGCCAGAACTATTTGTTTGAAAATGCTGATGTGAGAGTCGATTGTTTTTCTATGTTATATGATATCTTTAGGGTAAGTTATGTTACATATGCATTGCCTTTCTAATACGAACTGTAATTCATTGGTGTAATGAAATAAATATTGGCAAAGCTTCACATAGTAAAGGCATACATGTATATTATTAGCAGCTGCATATATTGTATGTTATTGTCTGCTCCTGCATTACCTCATATCTACATGACACTGTCTGAAGTGCATTGTGTTCAGAACATGTCTTAAAGCACAGATCAGTGAGAGGGCAGTAACCCAAATGGTGCTGTACATACAGTCCTTCTATCTATCAGCACCGGGAATGAAAGGCAAGGAGACATATCTAGGATGAGCCACCATATGACCGAGGTGAGGATGAGGAGGACGAAGGAGATGATGAAGATGCAGTCCACCAGCACTCTGCGGTACCTGGCTTCCGGGGTTGATGGGGGCCAGGATGATGTAGTTGTCCCCGTTGGATGCCTTCACGCGGGTCCCCTTCAGCGTGGCAGTGTGAGGGTGGTGGAGGAGGCGCGGTTTCCCGTCCAGCTCCTCGGCCGACCCCCCATGGGCCCCCCACCCACCCAGGGTCCCAACGCCTACGCCTCCCCCCATTCCAGCTTCAGTGCCGTTGACCAGCAGCCTGCGGGAGGCGGTGGCACGGTGGTGGGCTGGGAGAGGCGGCACGTCCGGGGGGGATTTACTCGCACCAACATCTGGAACGCGCCTGCGGGTTGGGGGCGAGGGGGCGTCATAGTTTGAGGTGGACGGATTGTAGGAGGGCCGATGGATGAGGCCCTCGAAATTAGGCTTAGCTGAAGGGCCCGTGCGCCACACCACCAGTTTGGCTTCATTGCCGCTGTTTCTACAAAGAGAAATAAATATGATGAGCAACAAAATATAAGCAGTTCAAATAAATAAAAACCTTGAAACTGCAAATCTGTCCATGCATTCGTAAATCACTTTTGTAAATCCTTTCAGGAAGAACAAATAACCTTGTAGAATATCTGCAGACACTTTAATTATTGCATATAGAGAATCTACTCTATGTATGTACAACTATAACGTTATTTATAATCTATATATGTATCATTTTTTATATACCTGAATCATACAACTATATGGAAAAACTTCCACTGTAATTCAATCTCAAACTTTGAATTATCTTTTTTCACACCAGGTTTTGTTCACGTACTGAAACAGATATCAAAATGAATTTCAATCATGATGCCAAAATTAAATCATACATCAAATTAATCCATTAGATAATCTTTACAAATCACTGATCCTGAGACCTGAATGATCCTCTGGTGGGTTGGACTCATTACCTGATAGCATGGGCTAGGTCCACACACTTCCATTGCTCCACGGGCTGACCGTTTAGCTGCAGCAGGGTGTCCAAGTGCTGCAGACCTGCCTGATCCGCTGGACCCCCTGCACCAGGGAAGAGACAGAAGAGTTAAGATCATTATACGCTCTCGAGTGACATTTTCATTTTTTTGTTCATGTTCTTTCCGGGTGATGTTACAGCTGCATGGATAAAACAATTGAATATGTGTCTGATATTAAGATGCTCTGTTAAATTCATTTAAGAATTAGCTTTCTCATGTTATGTGAATTGAATTATTAGGCCCAGATGACAACATTTCATGACATGTCAAACTCAGATCAATGGATGTGAAATAAAGCTACCTTAAACATAATATACCCAATAGAACCAAGAATTTATGATTTAAAAAAAGCAGTTCAGACAGCTGCTTTGACACCATATATATGTGTCTGTGGTACGACAGTGTGCTTATTAAGCTCATGTTATAAATATTATTAGAAACTAGAAAACTACTGTTGGCAGTCCTGAGAGTGAAAATCAAGTGCATCCCTTATAGCCAGACAGTATTCAGTCCAATCTTCTTAGGTAAATTAACTTTGATTATAGCTGCTTTCACATTTCTAGAAGTATCATTTTAGGAATAGGTAGGAAAATGACAAGTCCTTCAGTAAAAATGAAAGAAAGATGTTTCTTCTGCAAAGGCCCAGTGGGAGTTCAGAACAATCAGGACCTCAGCATTTAAAAATCAAACCACGCCAGAACATTGAGCTTAATTTACACAGGCATGTGCATGCAAACCTCACCTGGATCAACAGCCTGCACCCTCACAGGGGAGTCTGAGCAGATGGTGAAGCCGAATCCATCCTTTCCTCGGAGGATGTTCACCTGCAGAACACAAACACCGTCATGTCGTGATAAGAAGATGGGACCTCTCTCTCTCACTACTTGAGGAACCAAACGCAGCATGCTGTCATAATAATCAACTTCCTCCCTACAGGATGATTAAGTGGATTTGTATTCTGCTTCTACTTCCTCTATTAAAACTGTCCTGACAGCAGTTTCCCGGTGAACCCAATTAGCTGTGTTCGCAGGAAAAACAAGTCCAAGAGATGGAGGAAAGGCGCTCATTGTCCAGCCGTTGAGGATAAAATGAATCCTCACGAAAGCACATTGCTATAGCTGGTGCAAAAGAAACACAAAGAAGAATTGCAAAGGAAACACACACAAAGCCTCTTCAGCACAAACATGTAAACCTTTCATATTCAGGGCACACTGATACTAACTGAGAAAGGTAAATGTAGATTGCTAAACTTTATTTTTCCATGGTAGCATCAGTAATTATATAACTTGTTTATAAAGCCAAAACAGCACCAATACATTCAAGTGACAGCTTATTAGTAACCATTAAGTCACATCTATTATATGGTTGCACCATTACGTGTTTTTTTCCATTTATATATTTCATTGTCAGCATATGTTCCTTATAAGATTAAACTGTCGCACACAGAATAGTAAAGAAAGATCATAAAGGTTTTTTAAGGGCGAAATCTCGATGTTGTGAGTAGTGCAACCCCTTGCTTCTGGATAATATGCAATGTCAGGAATAAAGATTAAATCCAAACATTGTTCGTCCGCTCAAGTTCTGCAGGTCAACACACACACATAAACATTTGTAATACTGATGGCAGTTTCCCATTGTCTCTCTTTGTCTTTGACCCCGCGTCGCCAAACATTCGCTACCTGTGCCAGAGAGTCTGAGCCAACGTCAACAAAGTCTCCGTCCAAAACATCTCACTTTCCATGTCATCTGCTGACAACCAGGGGACTAAAACACACACCGCCCCCACCGCACAACTCTTTTTCATTGCTCTGTTTTGCTCTAGCAGAGGAAAGCTTAATTATTTAAAAATATATTTTATTTATCCTTTATTAAGCCAGGAAGGGCTTATTGAGATACAAGGGAGTCCTGGTTAGGAGCAGTGTTGGGACTAACGCGTTACAAGTAACGCGTCACTGTAACTAGTACTCTAAAGCACTACTTTTGAAATTCAGTAACTCAGTTACCGTTACTACATGGTGCGTTACTCCGTTAGTTTTTTTTATATAGTCAACAGCCAGGCGAACAGAGATGAGAACTGTACTTAAGTACAGTACTTGAGTAAATGTAGGCCTACTTAGATACTTCCTGTGTCACATGCGGAGACGCGCTGTGGGCGTGTTTGTGTTGTTTACTAACAAGACTATCATGGCGGCGGCGGAGCTCAAGTCTAGTTTCTCCACCTGGAGATATTCTCACTATTTCACTTTTGTCGAGCACAAAGAAAAGAAAGTTTCTGTTAAATGTAAGTTGTGTCCTGGCGGGTCAAAGATCCTATCTACTGCCCAAACCAGTAATTCAAATCTCTTAAAACATCTGCAAAAACAACATGCTGGGACGAAGCTAGTAGCTAAGACCACAGAGACTCAGCCGACGCCACTCCACCTCCACCTAAGCAACAGCGGCTGGATTTTAACCAAGGGACTGCTAGCCAGGGAAAAGTCGATAAAGCCATTGCACGGTATGTTGTAGAACACATGCAGGCTATTGCTACAGTGGAGTCACCCGCTTTCAGGGAGCTAGTTAGCATGATAGCATGTCCGGGCGGCACACGGCATATGGGACGGAAAACTTTTTCCAACTACCTGGAGAAAGAATATACAAAAATGGAAAGCCAGCTAATATCGATGCAATCCAGATTCCATATAATGCATGTCAAGTTGATCAACAGATTGTATTATTCTCCAATGCAATAACAGTACTGAAATGAAGGCTATAAGGGCATTAATAGGAGACCTTTTTTCAACTAACTAAAACGTTACTTTTCACAGTAACGCATTACTTTTGGGTTTAAGTAACTAGTAATGTAACTGAGTTACTTTTGGAATGCAGTAACTAGTAATGGTAACTAGTTACTGGTTTTCAGTAACTAGCACAACACTGGTTAGGAGCATGTTGGCAGTTTACCCATGCGCCAAATGCAGCGACTTGCAGTAATACGTTGACTATTCGGGGGCCTGAAGCTTATGACGACCCTAAAATGTCGGATATAATTGTAGTTTCTTATAGTCCAATGATTTGATGTGCCCTGTGTCACGGCGTTTGAGGCAACAATTCTTCCATCATATTTTCCTCCTTTCAAATCTTTCTTTCTGTTTCAGTCTCTGACACTGCTGGTGAATAATTGTCCTTCTACAGAAAGAAAATTAGAAACTTGATTAACCGTGTTCTACTTGCAAAGATGTACTCTCTGCACTGTGTGTGTATATTCTTATTTTAAGGACGGATGGATTCACACACTAATCACCCTTGCCTTGGTTGTGTGACAGAAATAGAGAAAGGAAAGATATATAGAAACTGACTGTAGGTAGATGAAAAGATAATAAACAAGGATAGACGAGATACAAAAAAAAGATTAAAAAGGGGTAACAGTACTGCAGTGGGACTTTAGACAAAGCAGATGACAGACAAATAGAACAGATGGTATGAAGAAAAAAACGTTGAGTGGAATTAACGGAGAAAGACAACAAGCAGACATGGAGCATTTTGATGGTTGAGCTTGAAAACTGAAATGTGAAAAAAAATATTGAAAAGCAAAGAATGTGACTTAAAATTAACATAAGTGAGAGAGACAACAATCCATCACGCCTGTTCCATCTGCCTCTGTCTATCTACTCTGTCTGTTTGTTTGAATTGAAAGCTGTTTCAGAGACTGTGTCCAACTCTTAGAGCTGCCTAAATTGGGCCAATTCATCCAAACTCCAAAGCCTTTTCAGCATTAATTTAATTTGTAAGCAGAGTTGAGTCCAACCACTTAGACTCCTCTGGTCTGGGAGAGGCAGTCCCATGCTCCTTTTTTCACTTTGAATGAAAGCAGGGGCATTACTTTACCATGTTTAAAGAAAAGAGGAGACTAGCCTGGGAATAATGCAAGAAATCAGTATGAACATCCTTTTAAGGGACTTTTAAGATGTATTACTAAAAATGAATTAATGTGAAAAACACAGATTAAATATTTAAATTGTATTAGCATGGCCTTATTGATAATTAATAATTCAGTCAAAGGGACTGTGGCGGAACTGACTAGACTAATGAGTAAGATTTGAGCTTTCTTGTAATAAATGTAGAGGAAAATCTGGTGTGAACAGTATGTGTTGTGGGACAGCTTTCCCCTTTTCACATTCATGCCTCAGAGCTACATGCTTTCAGACAGTGCATGAATCCCGCCAGTCTCTGATGATTTCATGAATACAGAACATGTCGTGTCTATTTTCTGTCAGTTCTGTAAAGGTTCTATTTACGGCAGACAGTCCAGCATAAACTAAATTAAACGTATCACCAACATTGTTGTATACATAATGGTTAAGTTATGATATCAAGTGGGTATTCTCAAAGATTAGATTGACATCACACCACACACACGACTTAATTGTTAGTCTGTATTTTTGTCATGTTAACGCCTCTTATTTGTGTATCTTCAAAATATTTAAAGATTTTGATCATTTCTGCCACCTTAAAAAATGAAATAATACATTTTTCTTAAAACTGTGTTTTCCTAATTTCTTATGCAATGCAGATGTGCACAAAGGGTCTTATGTAAGGAGAGGGGCATCAGTTCATATCATAGCAAACGTGTGTCTCCTCTCTTCCACTCCTGATATCTTTCTCTCACTATGTGAACTATAAATAATGTAGAGGACACAAAAGCTTGTTCCCGACTCGGAAGAAAACACAGCCAGTTATTCCTTTCCGGATGTTTTGGACATGCTGTCCAAAGTGCAACTTCAGCTGTACAGTCAAAGCCAAATATTAGGATCTGATCGTGTTCAAACACAGATATAGCCACATATTTTAGGCCTACACTTTTGGTTTTCCGACACGATGACAGCCGACTAGACCGGTGAAGATTCATGAATTATGAAATGTAATTCATCTTTCGCAATTAATTACGAAAGCAGTGGTTAAAGATAGTTTTCTAACTTTTTTTCCCTCACAATCACCGGTTGATTGATGTACCCCGTCCCCTATTCTCTGAAACAAAGACACACCTGAGGCAGCCTACATCCGATGCAGAGGTGGCACAGCCCGTGGATGGTGTGTATCACACCACCACCTCCTCTTTGTCCTTCTCCACCGTTCAAGTCTGCAGCCAGTACACACACGCTGCGACGGTGACTCTCCACCTGTCCGGCCCTCCTGCAGCCCGAGTATCTCCACAGCCTCCTCTGTGCAGCGGAGTGTGTGCTCCTGGGGCTATGCTCCGATGGCTCGTTGGACTTAAGTGTGTTATGAAACATCATAACAGTGACAGCTGCCCAAAAAAAGTCTGAAGGTGGCTTTGGTCTTGAAGTTTTCAAAATGTCCAGTTTCCAGGTGACAGTCAGGATGAATTGTGGCTCTAGATAAAAATATGGTGTCTCACCTTTCTGGAAAATAGACAGGAATCTGTCGAGTGTGACAAAAATGTGTCCTTGGAGACTTTTTTCAGCCAAACTGGCCCCTTCCCGCAAATTAATTTAAATTGAAGTTTCTTGGAAACAGTCCTTTCTTCAAAGTCGGCGTCACTCTGCCACTGTCCTCCAACTGCAGTGTTATCCATTCAAGGTTCCTTTTAATGAGTCCAGTCAATAATGCTCAGTGTTGCGTCTGTACCTGCTCTCAACTACTGCATGTCTTCCTCTTGCCTTGTTTGAAACTTCACTTCAATCCTCCAAACTTCTTCCTTCTTTCAACTTTTAACACTCAAATTATTTCTATCCCGTTACCACGGTCGCGCTTCTCGCCCTGTGGTTTGAGCGGCAGCAGCAGTTTCAGTAGCTCCTGAGCTCGGCTGTGTCAGAGTGTGTGT